TTATCTGAGACTATCACATCCGGTAACCCATGGGTGGTTATTATGTACCACAGACCTGGCATTTAGCGACAACAGCCTGAGACCAGGGTCCTGACTACTTGCGCCATCTGGTCTCGGAGTGGGACTCATAGGGCCGGAAGGAGGGATCTCTGTAATGTAGCGAACCCTCCTTCCCCGGTAATGGCCTGCCCTAAAGTCCCCGCCATATCTGCCCCTCCCTGTTACGACCGTAATACCCCGACTCTCTCCCGTGTCTCTGGTCCCCTCAACCACCCCCATGGCCCCCGCATCTCCCGGCAGGTCCTCCGAATCATACATACCCATGCACTCCCCCAAACAGTCCCCACGTAAAAGTTAAAAAACACAAAAATTTACAACAATATGATAGTAAAAGTGGGCCATTCATTCAATCACAACCAATCCCATACACTCATCATACTATATGATGAATTATAGTTGTATTATTTTAAACAACCCAATCTCTAGTTTGAAAAAGAAATCACAAACAGTGTCTAATTCCCTTATGTTCAGACTTTTGAGCAAGCTGATATGGCAACAATAATGTTCTAATAATAAAAAGAACATGCCATCAACTGCTAAAATGGAAAAGAATATGATTGTTTCTTGTTTTGTTAATTTGCGACAAGGGCCAATGCAATTCAATACCTAGGCAACTCCCTTAAAAATAAACATAATGTGTAATACAGACAAGTCCATTTTTTAAAAAATCATTGCTCAACTTTTATTCAGACATAATTTCCATTAACTTTAATGGAGGCTCTTTCTTGCATAAAACCTGACTACAGCTTTTCAAGATATGACACAATAACATTGTTTTATCAAACCTAGAGTCTTATTGTTGTTTGGGACAGGCTGGCAGCCTTGCTGAGTAACAATAATATCATATACAAATCTTCCTTACTGAGCACTACTCTAATTGCTTCTAATGGAATATATTTCCAAATACATTCCCTGAACTACTTCAGGTTGATGAGCTACAGTGCACAAATGGCCAGATTACAACCTAGGACTCAGAGAGGTGTGTGGAAATGGCTGCTAAGATGTGCCTTCTTTGGTTACCTCCAAGTAAATCTCCATTTTTCACATGGTGAAGCACAGTCACAAATCTCCATCTTCAAAATGAAGGTGCTCCAGGTGGAGCAATTGGTTCCACTCCATCATTATACATGTGTGTGATGCTGAGTTCAGCTTCTGGGGGGTGGGGGATGCAGCATGGAGAATTATAGAAAACAGGACCACAGAAGATGTGAAAATGCCAGACTTTCATGAAACTCATCTGAATTACCTTGGGCACTTCTATTTCTTTGCTTGTATACATCCTAAGATTGTAACGATGGGGAGAATAAGTCAAAATGACCACATGATGAGGGAATGTAATGTTTTGCTGCAATTAATAGAATAGAAGCAAAAATGATACATTGCAAATTATTACAATGAGGGTCAATAAATACTGTATAATTTTTTAACTAGAACAATGGTAACTATTGGGTGATTAACATTATCTTGCATAGTTTTCATGTACTATGACTTTCATATGTGTCATAGTATGTGGTGTAGGGTTTCCTGTCTAAGCAGGGGGGTTGGACTAGAAGACCTCCATGGTCCCTTCCATCTCCGTTATTGTATGCTATTATTCTATATTCTCTTTCTTATTTGCTATTTCTTCATAAACAGTATCTTGGTGATATTATCTTTTGACAAAGTATAAGTTGACCTGTCTTTGGATGTGTAGATACTGTAATATGATAAAAATATGATGAGCCACTTCAAAAAAGAACCCCAACAATAAGAAGAATATGAATATACTTAATGTAAAGAACTAGACGTAGAAAAGTTTCAAGGATTATCTGATGGATCTAGGACAACTTGCCATGGCCAGCTCATGAAAATGGGAAGTCCCCTGCCCCCACCTCCTCTCCACTACCCACCCCCATGCGCTCTGCCCACCCGCCTGCTGTCTCTTCCTCTGGCCAGCAGCGGCAAGTTGACCATGTGGAGTTGTCCTATGGCAACTTGGTGGCAGCAAGTTGTAGTGGCCTGCTGGTGGTGTTGAGCTGGCCACAGTGAGCTGGCCATGGTGAGTTGTCCCTTTCAGTTATCTGATAGTTTCCTCTGCTCTACCACTCTGAACTTCATCTGTTACTGTATTGGCGATAGTGGTGAAGAGCAACCGTAGGGTACAATTTGCAGTGAATACTTGCCAGTTACCTTCCCTTTCTCACAATACTCCCAATCTAGTATTCTTTGGAGGATTGTGGGAAAATAATAAGTAGCTAAATTTGTTACTGGAAAGGTGAACAGAAGAACCAAAATGCTCACATTGATGCCTGGACCCTGCGCAAGTATCTGCATTCTAGAAGCTGTTCAGAGCTGTTGAACATTGTTGATCTTGGTCTCCTGTAAAGGTTGTCTCTCTAGTGTTCATCATATATGATATAGTGTTGTCCTTGGAAAAGAAAGTGAAGAAGAAAAGAAGAAAATTGGAGTTCTGCATTCATTTAGAATAAAGACCTCTCTTTTAAAGTTTCACCAACTGACAGTTACCAAAAAGCTCAACAATTTTCCCTTGAAACATCCATGGTTGTTGGTGAGTTTTTTAAGGCTATCCAGTCTGCTCCACAACCAGGTGCAAGTGATGTGCTTTCCTTTGGAATAACAAAAAGATTGCCAGTAACATTTGCATATTTGTTCCCCGTCCTGTTGGGAAATGTTGCCCTTTGAAAAAGCTGCCTATTAGTGGAAATGCAGTTATTAAAAAGGTGTATGTATAAGAGGCGCAGTGTCTCAACACTCCACCCAACCTAACATAGCTTTCTTAGGAATGCATCGTGGCATGGTGAATATTAATATAATATAGAGCATTACAAAACCGCAATTACATCACAGCTTGCTCATTCACAATTCATTATATCAAACACATGAGCTTACTTGTTTAAAGGTCTGTACGGGAGCAAAGATAAAACCGACTGCCATCTCAGTGTCTATATTGAGGTGGAGCAATATAATAAAAGTGTTAGATGAGTCACTGGGACTGAAAACCTGCAAAGATTGTGATCTAATTTACTATAGTTCATCTTTGCCTGAAACATAGTTCACTAGACAAGTAATGCTTACTGGATATTTTTGAAACCTTTAAAAAAGCAGAGTCTGGCTTCTATTCCATCCTCTTCCTGGTCCCAAAGAGCTCAGGGGGGTGGAGGGCCATCTTGGACCTCAAAAGCCTGAATCAGCATCTGGCTTACAAGAGGTTCAAGATGCAGTCNACCTTGGGGACTAGAGACTGCATTTATATGTACAGCTTCCATGCAGAACACACCACTAAATCTATTGTCTATAACCAGTTCTAATCTGTAATTGGATCCACGAGATGTCCAAGGCAGACCATCTCAGTATCTTCCATCCTTTTATGGAGGTTTTGGGTGGTGCTCTATAGTACCCAGACCAGGAAATGATCTGACCATGGCAGTGGGATGATGGAAAATGGCTTCAGATCACCAAGTAACTGCTCCTTTCTCAAAATCCACTTTTTGTTCTTTCCATTTGGAAATCAAACTTCTTTTGAATAATTTTTGTTACAGAGCTCAGACTTCAGTTGTGCTAATTTCACTCTAATACACTCTTTACCTCTGTCCTTTATTTCTGTGTCCATTTTCCCCTGGGGTTCACTCTTGACATTTCCAAACCATTGTCTGTCCAACGTTCAAAATGTTTATCGTTATTTCTTTCAGTAATTCTCTCAAATTTTCATCAAACCAATTGTGCTCTTAGATTCATTTCTTTGTCATGTGTATACTTTAATAGATTTATGCCTCATGCATTTGAAACAGATTGCTATTCTAATTTATTCCTGTCAGTTTTTTCTACCCTCTCATTTAATTCCTATCCACCCGTTCATTTCACCCCTCAAAATTTTCATCCCAATCACATTCATTCAGAATACTGCACATTTTCCACATATCTGTCCCTGTTTCTTTCATTCACAACATGTAGCAAGCATCCAATTATTTCTAACTTTTGCAACTACAGACTCACAACAATCTAGTTGACATCAGATCATAGTTTTGATAAATATTCTAGCATTCAATACTAATCGAAACTACATACTTCTCTGCATATATTCCTCAAATCCTTTGTATAAGATCTGATCACTAATCACATATATTAAATTTTCCCTCTTTTTGTTAACAAGCAATTTAGCTTAATCTATTTTTAATCATGCCACATATTGTTCTATAATCCAAGTGACAATTTCCATGCATTATGTTCATCAATAAATAAGCCATAAATATTGACCTCCACTGCTCATCATGGTTTTGGTCAACATTTTGTAAAACTTATTAATAAAATAGAGAAGATGTAGACTAGATAATCTACATTTAGATTCATAGCTGTGTAATATGCATCCTTCCATGTTAATCGTAAGGATAGTATCCATCAGTTTTCATATATTTTGGGCAGTATACTATACCATAATTATAATCAAGGCCCATGTATGTTAATTCTACTATTTCCAAGTTAGGATCTCTAAACTAGAAATAATTTTGCAACACAACATATCGGTCTCTGCATTCCTCATGTTCAAACATACATTCAACATACTAAACATGACTTTAACAATTAAAAACATAGATAAAGGTAAAGGTTCCACTTGCACATATGTGCTAGTTGTCCCTAAGTCTAGGGGGCAGTGCTCATCTCCATTTCAAAGCCGAAGAGCCAGTGCTGTCTGAAGACGTCTCGGTGGTCATGTGGCCAGCATGACTAAATGCC